TCGTCTGGCTTGATTCTCAGGACAGTGCTGAGAGGTACAACGGGCCAAGATCATTTTCGTTCCCGCTTTATAAATGAGGAAAAGTGGTCAAAGAGGTTAAATGTTTAGTCTACGGTCAAATCGCCGTGTTTGAGCCAAGATGCAGTCTTTATCCTGCGAATTCATAGCCGGGATGTTGCGTCCACTTGCTCCCACTCTTTCCTTTCTTCCAGTTTTTCATGTGACTCAGGTTTTGATGCTCTCACTGTGGAGCTGGTCATGTCCTACGGCGGCAAACAGTTTTTATTGCAGCAGATTCAGGGAGCTTTTAGCCAGAATAACTCGCATCAGTTTGGTTTAAGACTTGCATCAAAGGAACAGTGAAAACTTTTCTCTCTCATGCCTATTTTTGTCTCAGGCAAGCCCTTTTCCAATGTATAGGACAATTTGTGATATGCATGTGTGGTCCAGAAAGAAAAGCACCGAATACTTTTTCATTGTGCCTGTAGAAAAGCAATTTGAAATAAACTCACGACACTCCTTTGCAAAATATAATAAAATCCTTAGCTCCTGCCATAATTTGTTTTAGGGCAACATTTTGACTGTACTGTAGCCCTAATGACCATACCAGCCAAAAAAAGAAGAAAGAAAAGCAAAAAATGGGAGAGTTAAAAGGAAGGCCTTAGAGTTTCTCTGTATCTAATAGTAGTGTTGAGAAATCAGGATGTTGCTGTTTTATGTTTGTTTTACTTTAACAATGTATTTAAATAAAAACCCAGTGACTAGACCAATTTTCAGAGCAGAAATAATAACATTTTTTCGGCAGAGTTCATGATCCTACAAGTCAAGACACACAGGGTTTCACTTTTTAAAAACAAACCGAGTATTGCTCTGCAGAAAGATCGGCGCAAATGATGGAAATACACAGCACATAATTGTGGGGGAAGGGTTAAAGGCAATTTATTCCTGACAAATAAATTTGTGTTCTTGTGTAAATACCCAGGAGGCAAGTTTAGTTTATAAATTACATGGGGGGAAGCAGTTCCTTCCATGCCCCCAAATTAAAAGGCATCTCTGCAGCCTTGATTATGTGGGATTGCATCCGATAATTAAAGAATTGATAAGCAAAGAGTCTTGGCAGGGAAAAGGTAAAGAGGGTTTGGGGCTCTTTAATTTGTCTGTCACAATGCCTGAAGCAGAGATATCATAGAAATGGAAATAATCAAAATAGTAATAATAAAAAATAGCTAATGTGTACAGAGCACTTGTTCTACATATTCATTGTGCTTTCAGAGGGAGTGCTCACATGAATTATATAATTCAATATTCATTTCATCCATAAAGGTATGGAGGCTTAGTGAGCCTCCATGACCTACCCAAGATCACACTGGTAATAAATGGTTTAGTTGTAGTTCCAACCTGGCCCAGGAAAGAACCTTCGAGAAAAGATCAGGTATTCTGGTTCCACCTCCGGCTCCTTTCTAACTCTGTGGTTCGGATAATTCACGACACTTTCACTCAATTTAGTTTCCTCATCAGTAAAACGACAATAATTCTCAATCTGTAGTTGACAAAGTCTTGGGGTGTGGAAGGGGCAAGAAATGAGCTCGGAGTCCATTGCAAGTCTTCCACGTACTGTTGGAGATGGAATAAGTAATATGTTTTGCTTATATACATGCTTCTATTTTAAGGGTGTGTAGATTTGTTTCTGGAATATTAAAATAAACTTAGAAATTATTTCTGAATTCATAGAATCTTGGTCACAGTATACATTCTCCAACAATAAGCTAAAGAGTTATTACTGTCAAATCAGGACTCCTGAAAATATTTTTACATCAAAATTGGGCCTTTGCTTCTTCAAAGGTAAGAAATCGAAATAATATCTCAAAACCCTCCCAGCTGTAAATTTCTGTGATTACAAGAGAGAATGTGAAGGACTTGACCATTACTTTTTAAAACTTGCAGGAGTGACGGCTTCATGGATGTGAGCTGGAAGGGCGGCCAGGCAGGGAGTGGAATGCGTTCTGTAGGCACGCCGTCTCCCAGCAGGAGAAGCAGCTCAGTGTGCCTGGATGTAGGTGAGTCTGGCCATTTCTGCAAGGGACTGATTGAGCCTGACCTTGCCTCGCGTCATTCTTGCCTCTCTCCGATCTATTGTCCATGTGGCAGCCAGAGTCATCTTCTAAAATCAAACGCATGCCACTCCCCTGTTTAAAACACTTTCTATTGCCCTTTAATAAAAACCATCTGCCTCCAGTGGTCTGTCAACCGGGTGTGATCTGGCCTCTGCTCATCTGTCCAGCCTGGTTGGGGTACCTCTCTCCTTTACCCAACAGGGAACAGCCAAGGCGGGCCTCCTCTCCTTGCCTGCAACACACCAGCCTCTTCCTCTCCTTAGGTCTTCACAAGGTGCTTCCTCTGCCAGAAATGCTCTTCCTCCTACTTTTTACCTCATTGCCTTTTTCTTATTCTTTGGGCATCACCCTAAATTTAATCACATTCCTTAACCACTCAATCAAAGTAAGTTATTCTTTCCTTTGGTAGCCAGCCTCCAATAATCCCCACCTCCTGGTATTCATGATATTATTTAGTCCCTGCATTCGTGTCCCAGAGCTGCCAAAATAAATTTTCCCAAAGTGGGTGGCTTTAAAATAGCAGAAATGTACACTCTCACAGTTCTGGAAGCTAGACGTGCAAAATCAAGGTGTTCACGGGGCCATACTCCCTCTGAAGTCTCTAGGGGAGACTCCTCTTTTGTCTCCTAGTTTCTGGTGGTTGCCAGCAATCATTGGCATTCCTCCACTTGCAGATGGATCCCTGTCATCTCTGCCTCTGTCTTCATGTGGTCTTCTTTCCTGTGTGTCTCTCTGTCTACAAATCTCTCTTCCTATAAGGACACTAGTCATTGGGTTTAAGAACCACCATCTCTAGCATGATTTCACTTTAATTTGTTTACATTTACAAAGACCCTGTTTCCAAATAAGGTCAATTTGCAGGTACCAGGGTTAGGACTTAAGCACATACTTTTCGGGAGCACAATTCAACCCACAACTGTCCCCTGCCATAATAAATTTTCCCAAACTGGGTGGCTTTAAAATAGCAGAAATATATGCTCTCACAGTTCTGGAAGCTAGACATGCAAAATCAAGGTGCTGGCAGGGCCATACTCCACACTGCATAGGACTGACCCATGCAACTAACAGGATATGGGGAAATGACAGCATGTGATTTTTGAGACAAGGTCATAAATGGCATTGCAGCTTACCCTTGCTCTCTCTTGGCTCGCTCACTCTGGGGGAAGTAATCTATATTGAGAAGACACTCAAGTAGAAACTCTGGAAAGGTCCAAATGAGAAGGAACTTAGACCTCCTGCCAATAGCTGGCACCAACTTGCTAGCCCCATCAAGTCTTCTGATGGTTGCAGCTCTAGCCAAGATCTTAACCGCAACCTCATGAGAGATCTTGAGCCAGAGTCATCAACTTTAGAACGTTCTAAATTCCTGACCCATAGGAACTTTGAGATAATATATGTTTCTTGTTTAAAGCCGCTAAATTTGGGATAATTTGTTATATAGCAATAGATAACTCATATACCTCTAATTTTTTGTTTTGTGTCTGATACAAAATAAGTGTTTAATAAATGTTAGCTATTATTATCACTAATAATAAATTCTTACAAAAATAATTCAATATTATTCTTAGGTATTATTTAAATCTATTTATAATTCACCCATCTGCAGTTATATCTGCAAAATATGATAATATCTAAAGTCCCTTAAAAAGAATAATAATCTTGCTACAGTAGGAAAACAGAATCTACCACTTATTCAAAAGAAACAAGCCACTAATATATACAAAAACATGAATGAACTACAAAAACATTATGTTGAGCAAAAGAGGTCTGACCCAAAAAAAACACATGCTGTATGTATGATTCTATTTATATAAACCTCTAGAAAAAGACACATCTAATCTATAGTGACAAAAAGCAGATCATTGCTTGCCTAGAGCAAGGGATGAAGGGGCAGATTGACTGCAAAGGGCCACGAGAGAACATTTAGAGGTGATAAAGATGTTCTATATGTTGATTGGAGTAGTCACATGGCTGTGCACATTTCAAAACTCACCAAATTGTGTCCTTAAAATGTATGCATTCTATTATATGTAAATTATATCTCAATACAGTTGGTGAAAAATGTACAATTTTCTGAGCATTCATGAGCCAAGTGCTTTAAATAATTATCTCTAGTACAAAAGCAGTAGCTTCGTGTTCTGAAAATGGAAAATGAGCCTCAGAGAGATTGACTTCTTCAGGGCCACACAGTCTTAGGTCCAAATCCTTTTGCTTGTTTCGATACGCTTTGTTAGACTCAAAATGAATTTTACGTGTCATCTAATCTAGAGATGGCCAACTCCAATATTTTTAGGAGCTCAGCCATAAAAGTATGCAGGAGAGGACTGAGGATAAGACAACAGAGAGAGGTTGAGACTATTTTTTCTGGGCATGGGAAGACACGCATTAAATAAACCACAGGGTCATAGTGAACATTTTACAGATAAGGGTCCTAAAGAGATTTAATAAATTATTTGCCTATGGTCACTCAGCTGCAAAATGGCAGATTTCCTAAAAGTGAGAGACAAGTCAAGGTAGGGGAATTAGAGAAAGAGATGAAAAGTGAGAAGGCAAGCATTTAACATTAAAGCCCAGCATGTAAGACACGATTGCACTTATGCGTTATATAATATAAAATCAGAGGTTTAGTAAGGGAACACAAGCATAGTGCGTGTGAGTTTCGATGGCTAATTCATTTATTGTCCCCCCCCCGCCCCCCACCACTGCATGCAGAACCCCGTGCTTGGAGATCTACTTGTCCTGTGGGCTAAGTGTACCATCCTCCCTGAATCTTCCACGACATCAGCTCCATTCGCCTCCCCCTCGTCCAGCAACTCTTAAGACTTTCATTCACATTGCACATGTGGAAACTGCTCCACTGCCCTTGTCTCCAATTATCTGTAAAACACACTACACTTTATTATGGCCCTGTATAATGCTGTCTGGTCCACTAATTGTTTTAAATGTGTATGCCTTATCTTCCAACCTAATTTGCAAGGGATTTCTGAACAGTGTAAGAGTAAATATCTTAAATAGCTTAATAGCCCCATGGTACCTGACACAAGGCTGGGCACGCAGAAGACTCCCCATGAGTTCTTATCAATTGATTATCCTGATGTCCTGGGATAGCAGCATGTCTTAGGCTGGGTTTCCCAGAATCCCAACCTGAGATGAGAATTTGAGTGCAAGTAGGTTATTTGATATGTGATCTCTGGAAGTACCAAGAGGGACTTGAACAAGTGAAATAAGGAAGTAAAAAAAAAAAAAAAAGACAATAAAAAAATATTTATGAGCAGATTACTGTGTGGGTAATCGGAGTTCAGTGCCCCCGGGGACTTCTGGAAAAGTCTGTGGAATGCCCCCTTGAGATGTCCAACCTGCAGGGTGAGGAACAGAGGTATTTATTCACCATTCATCACTGGTCCAGAGTTGCTTCTTGCACCAGAGAAAGGCCATGGGCAGAGGGTCCCAGGTGCGGGCTAAGACTCCATGGGCGTGCCCGGGGATGACAACTGCTAATGGGACGCGGCAGGGCCTCTGCTACGCAGCACATTTCAATCAAAGGAAGGCTTTTTTTGTGGCAACACCACCAACCATGTGATGTTCTCTGGAATACAAAAATAAATACAACACGTTCCTTGTCTGCTAGGAATTCAGCTCTGTTGCTCCTCACTGAAGGTTATGGAGAAAAGCAGAAAAAAAGGGGAGGAAGAAAACATAACCCAGCCTCCATTCCCTTTCAGTCTATATTCTCTGATAAAAATTTCATGGGATTCTGCCCACCAATTCATTACAGTCATGATTCCCAAACAGCCATCGTGTTTAATGGCTTGTAGTCACTGTCAGGGTGGCACTGAGTCAGAGCAGAGTTTGGGAGATGAAAGAGGTGTCTTTGCTTACCTAGGGTCCCCGGTGTGCCCCAGCTCTGCTTCCACGATAGTTCAGTATTTCATTAACCCGTACCGAATATGCAGCATGATTACCTGTGCAAATTAAACTAATATTTGAAATCAGGAGAAAAGAATCACGGGAGGGAGAGCCACTTACCACAAGGACTCCACAGAGAAGTTACGAGGTAAAGGAGACTGTATTTTGTGCCTTTGCCGTCCAATGAAGCAGTCCGTCCTTGTGAAGTACTATAATTATAAAGCAATTTGCTACCTCTAATGGGAGGACTTTTCTTTCATAAAATATTAACTAAATATAATATCAGTGCAATAGGTTAGAAACAGTCTTAGTTTCTCCATAAAAAGTCAATTTGTAACCACCGTAAATGCCTTCTTCCAGATGATGGGATCCAAAAACACGCCCGTAGCCACTTGGCCTTGAATTAAGCCCAACACGTTGCCCCACCCTCGCTTGCCTGGCTGCTGAGTGCTTTCCCTGTAAACGCGTGCGTCTGCGGCGCTGTTCTGTCTCCTTGCTGAGCAGTTCTCAACGGAACGCGCTGCTGTTGCCCAGGCGGGTTTGTTGTCATGGTTGTGACCCAAAAACCTAAACTGCCACCAAATGAAAAACCTGAAGTTTAGGATGAGGACTTGGTTTGCAAAATCCCAACCTCTTCGTACAAATCGTGGAAAGGGCTGGTTCTTTCTGCGAGACATGCTCTGCGGGCAGGGTTGCTATCAGACTGCAAGCGCAGGCAGGCTGGAGCTGGCAGCTCAGTGCTGCAGGCAGGGCAGACAAAGGCTCTCGTTGCTAGTAGGGAAGTCAAAGAATAGTTTGGTGGGGGTTTTTTCTACTTATATTTTTCCTTCTACCTAATATCTTTACATAAAATTTAGCGCTTTGTTGTTTTGTTTTTGTGTTTTGTGTTTTATGCTCTGAAACTTGCATGATGAAGTCAGGGACTGTTTCCCCAGTGCTGCTCAGTTATTACCATTTCTCATCCATCCAGGGGCAGCAATTGCTCTCTGACTATCCTAGATGATTTGTTTTTTTCTAGGGAAAAGAGGCAATCTAAAGTGAAAAGTGAAGATGTTTACCTCCCAGTATGATTTCCAGCCACTGTGCCATTTTTCACTGAGAAGAGAAAACAAAAAAACAAAAATCACCCAAATAGCAAAAACCCAACAGATCCCCAATCACTTTTGTTTTAAAATCTTCTTTGTTAGAGGTAATGTAGAGAAAATCCATACTTGCTCATTTGGAAATTGCCTAAGGGCCGCATCCACTCACACGCATTCCTTTGTTGATTTACACTTCTTAAATGGATCGTCAAACTCTATTGATCTTAATCAGCAAAATCCTTTTTGTTTTTCAGTTCTTAGGAGTCTCCAAATTAGCCAGGAAGTTTTGCAAGGAGAATGTATGTTATATTAAGACCAGGAGCAGAGGCGTTTTTTAGATGAATGCTGAATGCAAACTGGAAGTAGACCTCTGGCCTTATATAGGGTAACATTCTATATATTTTCTGAACGAATGAATTCATGAGTTTAATCAAATAGTCACATTTAAATATTAGAATGTTGTTAAAGCAAGTTGTGAATAGGAATTATAACATGAATTAATATTTAAATATATATTTTGTATGTATATTCAATTATTATTATATTGAATATATTACTTTACCTTATATATGTATATATATTCATATCTATGGCAAAGTTAAATGTACATATGTCTATACATACATAAATATGGCAAGGAAAAATAAACGAGGGATTTATGCAAACTGATAAAACTGATTCTCTCTGGGAGACAGGATTTGTGGGAAGGGGGCTTCATTTTAGTTGTGAAAATGGAAAAAATTTAGTTGTGACTCAAGCAAACAGGGATAGAATGCAGACAAACATAAGAAACACGCATGGGACCGCCTCTCAGCTTTATCAGATCCTAACATCATGCCATATATTGCTTGAGATCATTTTTTGAAAGAAAAAAATTCCAATAAAATAGAGCAGCTTTTCATTTTTCTACACTGTTTCCATGCTATTTGAATTTCATATAATAAACATTTTCATCAGTAAAAAAAAATCAGTTACAATTTAAAAGTAAATAGACATAGCCGAACTGAAGGCAAGTGAATTTCAATGGCTTACCTAGAGTCCTGTTTCCAAAAAGGTTTTTTGCATCTGCCATTAACAAGAGGCCATCTCGCCTTACTGTCTGTCCGCTCACAGCTGTCTGGCAACTGGAAGTGGCAAGTTGGGACTGAAAAACACAATGTCAATTTAGGTGCCAGTGGGTTGGCGGGCCACATGTTCCTATTTATCCCTGTCAGCCACAGGCCCTATTAACTATTTTTAATGAATCACCACTCCTTTTACTTTTGCCATCAGCCATGACCTTCACCATTTAGAAACACATGGTCTCTCATAAACGATAGCCCACGACATATAAACTTGAGAAGGATTCTATCACAGCTCAAACTACAATATCTATCACTAAAACAAACAGCTCATTCTAGCCGAAGAGACACTCAGATATATCACAAAACCAACCTTCCATATTTTGAAATTTACTGCCCCGTGTTGGCTGCTTTTTTTTTAAGGAGGCCAGGCAACCTTGCTCACTTAATACTTTTGATAAACTTCTGCTGACAAGGAGTGTGATTAATGATGCTTAAAAGAATTGAATCAAGAGTAGGAAAGACAGAGCCAAAAAAGCAGACTGCTGGGCTGATGGAAACGAACGTCTCTACAGAAATATATGATGGACCCTCCTTTTTTACCATGCCAAGTAATTACTTGCACAGGCCTGTTGTAATAATTCCTATTACAGCCAAAACGGAAAAGTCAGTAACTCACCGCCCTGGGACAAGGTGAAGGCAAGGCCAGAGTAGCATGGATCAATATTTCATTTACTCACTGAGGTTAGCTCCTATCCCTGTATCAAATTCTTTTACAGAAAGCCATGAAAGAAATGAGGTTTGCTGCAAAACACCAATACAGGGGCCTTGTTTCCTTGGGGTGCTTATGAGGGAAGCCGAGCAACAAACCCTTTCAGGAAAACAATATGCACTCAAGGTCACTCATTACTTGCTACTGTTGGAAAATAAGTGCCATTAGCCTGATATGAGTAATGGACATCAATCAACTGCAGATGAGAAAAAGTATGTTTTCAACTTGGTGGTGCTGCTGGTAATGAATGAGCCATTTGAACACTGTCTACACAACTTGACAATTGTGAAGAAATTTTCTCTTGACAGTGCATCTATTTTTTTTTTAGTTTTTTTTTTTTTTTTTAAAAACACACCATTAACATTTATCTCTGATTACCTCCTGCCTTAAAAAAAGGAGGGGGGATGGGGAGGCTATAATGGTTTTCTCTGCCGTCAAGAAGTTTCTAGTTTGGTGCTTTTTCTAAAGAGAAATCACAGTTAAACTAAGAAATGCCCTAGGAAACCAAAAATGAAGACGGTTGTTTCTCAACAGGTTTCCTTTTAAAGAGTTTAAAATGTAAGATTCCCAGTCTAAGTTTTCTATGACACTTTCTGAAAAAAGGACTTGGCACTAATCAATTTTAGGTTCCATGTGGATGTTATGAAACTAGTTTATTATTGTTGATACTGTTTTCTTACAACTTCACGTAAAATCAGATTAAAATAGTCCCCACATATATGGACCTTACCTGAAATGCACAATCTGAATGTCATTGACTCATTCCATTTATTGTCTAGCATCTGGGGTTAGAACAAACTTTAATGCTACATTATTTTCTTTCTTAAGATTCTATAAGAACCTCTATTTATAAAGCATATTTCCCCTGCGCCTCACACTTCCATGTGGAATGGTCTTAGGAAAATTCTCCTGCACTTGCTTTTCTCCCCCACATCTATATTAATTCCCAGTTGCCTTTCTTAGGATTCCAGGAAGGAAGAAGGAATGAAAGGATTGATTTACTTGCTTAGTAACATAGGCTACTGGCAGTAACGACTGGTAACCTTGAATGTTTCTTACAGTTCATTTTTTTTCTCTGAAATAAATCTACTTCCCTTCCCTGGAACTTCAAAGCCACCCTCTACCAGATCACCCTATCTCCGTGCCATGGAATGAAGTTTAAATCAAGGCAGGGAAGTCCCGGGCTGTCATATGGGCTGTCAGATGTGTGCTCATCCCCAGAAACTAAGGTCAGCTGGCCTCAACATTCACTCAGGCCAGCAGGACTTGCGGCCTGGCCAGTCGACATCTTAGAAGTATTTTCAAGTGTTTGGGGTCTGCAGAAAAGTATGTTAGAATTTCCTAAGAATTCTCACCCCTCCTCCACTCCACCCCTTCAACTTGGACCCCAGGAGTATTTCGAGGGAAATTCAATCCATATGTGCCTGATTCGTGTTCACTTGACTCATTGACATGTTGTTTTCCAGGAGCTGATTGATGTACAAGGAGTCTTCTGACCTTTTTTCCTGAACCTTGCAGAACTGCCTTTCTTTGAGCTGGAAAATTGCCTTTCACTTGGGTAAGTAGCACTTTTGAGAGTTGAAAGTTTTGAGCTCAGCTTGAAACATAGTTCCCAAATCCGCGTGGGATTCTGGGTTTGACAAATGTGGCCTCAATACCTTTGTATAAAGCCCTTTCTTGCCTCATTTTTTTTCATGTGTGACACTCATAGCTAGAGGGGAAAAAATACAAAGATGATAATAACTTTCAGAGCATCCAAGCAGGTATCGTTGGAAGTCACAGCATCACTCTGATGGTGTAAGATGTCTAAGTCCATCTGTTCTCTTCAACCATCCTTCACTTGCCTTGATTTCTTTTATGTGGTCCCAACCCAAAGAACTTCCTCTGCCAAGTTTCGAGTGTGTGATAAAGGCAGCAGCTGACTTTAAACCATGCTTTGATTCTGTTAGGCAACATCTCAGCTTGGGTTAGGTTCCCTAGCAAAGTATTTCAGTCGACTTTCATATTGCTACCCCTTGGAACTCATCCTAAATTATGCCACTAAAGCATAAAAGTTATAAAGACAAACTACTCTCTCCATTGTTTTGACTAGATTCACAGGGAACTGTGACTGGGGCGTGCCTCTGCCCGGGGACAGCTGGTTAATTGATCTAGAATAGCTGGAATAACACCATGAAAGGATAGTCTCTTAGCTCTTCTAAAACTCCAGACAGAGAAGCTAAATTCGATCCTGTCATAGGAGTCTACAAACCCAAATGCCTACAGGGGACAAACAAGAAATGTAAACAAGTGGAGCAGAGGGAGGGTGACTGGTTCAACAGGGAGCTCACGTCTAAAGCTCATCCAAGCCAATGTCCAGAGACAGCAACTAGAAATGGTTGCAGGCTCGGTGTTGCCAGGTCTCTTGGGATTTCGAAAGAATCCAGAAATCTTCTAATTTTTAAATATTTGCATCTGATTCACATACGGTGAAGTCCTGTTTAGGAGCCAATTTTAGCCAACCAACCGGGGATATTTGCTATACAAAGTGACAGAGGGAAAGGAGAATGACAGCAGCTGGCAATTTACTGGGTCATTGTCATGTGCCAGAGACTGTGCTAAGTGCTTTCCAGACATTATTTCATTTGTTCTTCACCATTATCCTACCATATGGATGTTGTTGTTTTTCTCTGTTGTAACAAGAGAAAACGAAGGTTTGGAGTCCTTGTTAAAATGCAGATTCTTGGGCCCCTCCCAGGCCTACTGAATTGGAATGGTCCCATTTACGGAGGACCTGCCACACACCAGGCCCTAGACACCTAATGGGGTCGCCCCCGATTTAAGCCTCATGGGCACCCTAAAGCAGATATGCCCTGTTTTATAGACGGGCTCGGAGGAATAAAGTGGCTTTCAAACGTCATTCAGAGAAAAATTAAGGGCAGAGTCCGTTTTTAAATCCAACTATGCCTGTTTCCAAATCCAGAGCTCTTGTCGTCATATAACAAGGTCCAAAGTGCCAGGTCCTTGCCACGGAGTGCTGGTGGAATGGTATCTGTGAAGCTGAAGGTACAAGAGCACATTCAGAGGCACCCATGGCCATGAGGGTGGTGACAGTTATGAGGAGGACAGGGACAAGAAGGAGGAGGGGTCAGGAACTGTCACATCGCCCAAAGGGAAATGAGCCGATGGAAACCCCAAGCTGCTGCATGAACAGCCTCAGAGGCCACTGATCCACTTAGGGGCTTGCTGCCCTCGTCCTGCAAGTGAAATAGATTTTCATAGATATTCTTTATGCTCCTGGATGGTTTGAAAATTCAGTAACTCCAAGTGGAGTCCTAAGTATTTATGCATTTTCAAAAATGCATAAATTACTTAGGAATGAGTATGCGGTCCTGGACCCCGCCGAGGCGGTCAGGAGGGCTCCCCGGCCACAGGACCCCGCCCCAGCGGGTCTCACGACGCCACTGCGGGAAGACTTGCCTACAGCCTTAGAATCTTCTACAGCACATCTTGAAAAACACAGAATACTGCAGCTGGGGCAGGCTAGCATGCTCCTTCTTAGGAGGCAGCCTCGCTGGGTCCTTGGATGTGGCCTTTGACCTTCTGGCCTAGGGATGGGCTTCTATTGCTCTTCTCCAGCCTTCTCTCCCTCCCGGCCTCCACGTCACCATTTCTTCATATACAGAAAGCCAGCTCCTTCTGTGATGGAGTTAACATGCTATTGGAGGTCAAGGTACTTGGACCTCTGCTGTACTTAGTTCAAGATCCAGCCAAAGGCCACAATCAATACCGCAAATCACAGCCAAGCGACAACAAGGAGGCTCTTGTCTGTTCTCTCCCCTTTCAGAGATGCCGTTTCTAACGCTTAGCAATTTCATTAGCTCAGTTTCATTAGTCCGTGTCTCCGGCACTAAAAGCTGTCTTTGGCACCAGAAAGAACTGGCCTCTGTACCATTACCTGAGCAATACAGAGCTCCTTGGGGGCGCCTCTGTGTTTACACGTGGCTGTGCCTTGGACCAGCAGCCCTCAATATTCAGAAGTACTCTGTACAGAAAGGCGTTATGGGCAAAGAAACATCCATTCTGCTGAATGCATCAAGCTCTATGAATCTGTAAGAGCATAATTCAAAGCAGTGCAATAGAAATGCGACTTGTCACAAAGTTATCTTTTGTAGAAAAGAAATGCTGCCATTCAAAAACACATAAAACCCCAGCTTGCTTCCAACAGTGCATCCATATCACATCCTCAGAGCCCCACAACTAAATCAAATCAAGGGCGAGGCAACAGGACGGACTGGGAAAAGCTTAATTTCTGTGCCCACTGCGGGGTGAAATAAAAGGAGGCGGCTTTCATCTTTCAATGTTTCTGTAAACACGTAAAGAGTAAAAGAGGGTTGTTTGCCCCTCTCGATTTCTCAGAAAGCTTATTTTGTTTTTAATATGTCTGCTGTTCAGTGTACTCACAACACACAAGAATTCAGAAAGGAATTTCTGATGCCAGGTCTAGGATTTGAAATAGGATAAATGATCTCATTAGACTCATCTGGACACTCCAGCAATTATGGGTTGTATAAAAATAGCCATTAAGGCATTGTTGGTAATGCTGATAAACTGGAAACAACCTGTGAGTCCATCAGTAGAAGAACAACTAAATGAGCTATGGCACAGTCGTGTTATGCAAGCAGCGCAGAGAGCACAGCTTTCCTTGATTTTGTGTCCATTTTCTTCCTTTGTCCTTTCTTTCCTCCTTTTCTTTTTAATGGGCTTTCTCTACATTTATATTTTAAATTCAAAAATAGTCTAGTAGGTTTTCTTTTGGATTATACTCTTTCACTGTAAAATAAATTGCTAAAAATACCTGTTCCTTAACACATCTGTCTTACAACATTCCTGCAAAGTTCTACTTAATTATATTAATAATTTCTCACAACAGTATTGCCCTTTGCATTTTACCAAATGTTTTCTGTATACTTTCTATATATTTTTACATGATCCTAAATATACTTTTCATTTGCTTCTAATAGAAATACCGTGAAGTAGGCTCGGCAGTATTTATTTAATGGACACGTGGATCAAGGCTCAGAGGAGTTCAGCAACTTGCCCAAGGTTTACACAGCTAAGAACTGGTAGCACCAGGACTGGGACCAGATCTTTTGAGTACAAAGCCAAGGTCTAGCCTATTCACCATGCCTACACACAAGAGCTCTGGGGCAAAAAATACTTAGAAATATGTTTATTTAAAAGCTGAGACAAATACAACTCAAGAGAAAGCAAATGAAGCTGTAAATTTGCATGCTCTCTCCAAGCCAAGGTGTGTTACACATCTAAGCTGGAGTTGTGCACGCTTGGTTAATATCTACGGCTTCTTTATGCTTACCATTGAGATTTCAATTCATGAAGGCAGTAATGACAACAGTGAAGACAGTTTCTTAAGGCTTTTCCTGCACTCCTGTGCCCTCTATTTTGATCTTCTGCCAAGGTTTGTGAGTAGTGCCAAATCAAACAGCTCAGCATCTCTGTGAGGCTCCTCCTGGGAGTTGAGGAATTCTGCAGTTGGAGCACGGGGTAAGATATAAAAGGCACAATTACGGTCTTCTTTGAAGAGTTTAGAGGCAGACAATGTTAATCTATTCCTTAAGAATTTCTGGTCTAAGCTGCCTTCATGCAGCAGCCTCCCCACATCCCTGTGCTTCTCTGGCCGGCTTATCCTATATTAGTATAAACATCCGAAAATGAGAAGGGATATAGCGATCTGATGCTTTTGAGCTTTCTCAGTGAGAAGGCCATACATAAGCATCAAAGAAACAAGCACACGATTTCCACTGGCAATTTCATTTATCTAAGAAGAAAAAAATGTAAAGGTTTCTCATTCTGATCTTGTACGTAAATCTCTCGTGATCTCCTCTTTCGTGCTTTTATTTTCCCAACTTCATTGTTAGGAAGATTGTATTAGCATGTCAAGTGTGATGTTATTGTTTTTTATTTAATGGTGATTAATTGCAGAAATTGTTTTGACATACTGTATTCAAATTTTCTCTTCAAAGAAGCTCCTCTTTTTGCTATTTAACCATCTGATTTTCTGTTTGGCTGCACTCAGTGAGGTAAGCCAATGGTTAAATCTTCTTTGTCTTGAGAAAAATTTGTGCAAATTTTGCATACTGTTGTAATAGCATGGGACCAGTTAAAAATGCAAAGATACGCTTTAATATTTTTAGTGTAAGAAATGAAAAACCAAAGTATTTATAGTTTTATCACTGGTTCTCTGTTGTTTTTTCTTATAGAAATATACATTTTATATTTCTGTTCATTAGCCAACAGATTCTGTAAGAGTACTAGTCTTCCCCGTAAACATTAAAAGGACTAAAAATGTCTTGAAATCTGAAGTTTCGATTTTAATTATGTGTTGAGATTGGCTAGATGCTCCCCAAACCCATTTCCTCCTCCCGGGTGTAGGGCCAACCTGCATTTCTGCTTCCCTCCTGGGTGAGGCCATGTGATGTTATTACCGGTGGGACATGAGCAGAGGTACTATGTCACTTTCAGGCTCAAACAGTTAAGAGAAGGTCCATCTTCTTCACACTGTGGCTTCCCAACTGCAAGTGGAATTTTAATGTGCAGGGAAATGAGCAGTCACCAAAGACTTGCACCGGATTGTGTCACAAATGAGGAACAAACTTTTATTGTATTAAACTACTGAATCAAAGCTTGATTTTACAATAGTAACTTATCCAGATTAATATTATTCATTTATGTTCAACTTTTGGATGTGTCTCCCTTAAATTTGGTGTTATAGTGAATTTTTATTTATTTTTTAAATTTTTGTTCCCTGGCTAGAAATTAAACCAGCAGCCTGTGGGTGCATGGGAAAATGCTCAACCAACTGAGCCACACCAGCCAGGGCAATAGTGAATTTTTAACATTCAATTTTAAGAAAAAAACTACATGGCATGCAATAAAAGCCTCTTACATGGCTCAAAACATTTTGAGCACAAAAACATAGATATAAATATCCAATAACTACTTAGGTACATTTTGAAGATAGTAATTAAAATAATAAATCAAAAAAGTGAGATCACTAAGTTTGTATCCATCAATTTTTTTTAATGATTATAGTCTATGTTGGTGAATGCAAAGAGAAGTTGGGACTTTTATTCTCACTTAACTGAAGTATAATTTTTGCAGTGTTTTGGGAAGGAAATTAAATAATATATATCAAGATCAGTTAAAATGTTCATCCCTTTTTACCCACAATTATGTTTATAAGAATTATTCTATAGAAATAATTATTGATGTCATATGCAAGGATGATTAATCTCAGCATCATCTATTTCAAAGTTGGACAAATTAGTGCCCACAGGCCAAATCTCACCTGCCACCTGTTTTTGTAAATAAAGTTTTATTGAAACACAGCCACTACTCTTCATTGCATATTGTCTATGGCTGTCTTTGCCATAGCAGCTCTGAGTAGTTGTCACAGAGAACTCAGGGTCCTAAAAGCTCAAAGTATTTTCCATTTGGCCTCTCTAAAAAACTTTTGCCAACCCCAGATCTATAAAAATTAGAAATATGAAATTTACTGAACATATAATAATAGAGGGATTGTTATATAAATTATGGTACATTTTTATGATGAAATTATCATATAAACATTAAAAATGTTTTTAAATGGTTAAAGGGGGTCAAAAGGTAAAAAGAAATAAAAGAAAGAAAAAAATAAAATATTTTTTCAAGAACTATTTAGTGATGTTGAAACATGTTCTTTATATAACATTAAGTGCAAAAAAGCAGCATTCAAAATGATTTATACACTATGATCCCAATATAATTAAGAACCATGCGCACAGATACACCAAATGAAAAAAAGATGAGGGAAACTGAACACCAAATGTTAGGGTGGTTATTTATGAGGGCTAGAATTTCCAGTTGTTCTTTATCTGTATTTTTTAAACGTTGCACACTGAAGAAGTCCTAATTTTTTCATGGAATAAATATTAAATTTATTTTATTACTATAAAGAAAGAATTAAGTGGTTGAATTGTTTTAACATCTGAAGCTAGAACATGGTAGAAGTCTTTCTCATAGTCCCACCTAAAAGACAAATGTGAGGGATGAGACACACTTGAGTAGGCCCCACATATGACTGGGAATCAAACTATCAGACAAAAGAGTAATCAACAATTCAGTATGTTTAGACCTAAAGCCGAGTCCCTAGAGAAATGAAAGTTAGACTGGTAACCTATTCATTTCCTACCCCCTTTAAGAAGCAGATGTCTGAAGAATTTCAAAAATTTGATGGAAAAGAGTAGATTTATAACTGTTCTGTCTTTGAAAGGGAGTTGCAGGTAGAAGGTTATCTATTTAAGTAGCTCATCAGAATGATTTGAATTTGCATAATCACATCTAGACAGAAGCTTCCATATCAGCCACTAGCTCTGGTCGGCAAGCCCACTGCCCGGACATGCTTTGGAGAGCCAGGCGTGCTCTAGAGTAACTTTGTTTTCTCCTTGGATTCCTTTGTCTAGATCCATTCAAATCTTTCTACTTAGCTGTGTTGCATTTACAAATATGCCTTTCTGATTCATTTGCCCACATCTCCTATAAATTTTACCTGTCAATGGTAAGATTTTATTAGTCTAGATGTGTTACTCCAGGTCAACAAGTAGGTTATGTAACCTCCATGTAATTGCTGAGGAGGGAAAAGGTATGTTCACTGTCGTAGATACAGATAGAGGAAGGAGACTGTTTTCATGTGAACTTCTTACAGCTGCCTAACAGAAGGGGAGCAATTGTGAATCTCAGGTGTGGAGCCAAAAATTCAAAATCCTAGAAATGGGGTTGATGGAGGAAAGACTGAGGATGATAATGAATGCATTAAAATGAGATCTATAGCCAAAAGAGAAAAGAAATAGAATATAATGCTGATCTTTAATGAGAAATATTTGGTGATGTTCAGTTCTCCTTACACATATATATTTAATTTCATTGCTTTCAAAGTGCCAGGCGCTGAGCTAAGTCTCTCACTTGCATAATTAAATTTAATTTTCACAATCCTGTGTTATAAGGGCTGCAATTATCGCCCACATTTTACACACGAAAACAGAGGCAGCGAAAGGTTAGCATTCTCCTGTGCTCACACAGTTGGCTGACAGTGGTGGAACCAGGAATCATCCGCAGGTCTTGCTCACACCATTGCCCACAATCTGTGCCACAGGCAACCTCAGACTGCAAGCCTGATGATGAAACCATTCCTCCTCTGCCTTGGACGGTCCAAATGACCCCCTATTCTCTCTCTGAAGCAGGCACACTTAAACCGAAGAGAAGCAGCTTCAGTGTTTTATTTCAGAAGGTCAGCTTTTAACTTGGAGTAGCCAGATCAGATAAGGTAATAAATGCCAAAGTGCTTTGCACACCATAAAGTGCTGAAGGAAATATGTAAAGGATTAAGAATCATGGTGCTGGATATTAATAATAGCCACGAGTGCTTTTTCTAACAGTCCCATTATATTTTATATGATAGATTAAATGATAAGAATTAAGAGAAAAACTGAAGCACAAATCATTGCATAAACCCATTGCTGGCTTCAACTTTTCTGGGAATGACTTTCCTCTTCTGTGAACTGGGGACACTATTTACAGTATCACAGGAGTGCTGCATGAGTAAGTGAAATTGTAGATGTAAAGCTCAGTGCCCAGGTTCAGAGTTCATGTTCAATCAAGGACAGCTATTTGCTTAATAAACAAATAATTGTAAAAGGTGGAAACTGACTCATTAACCTCTTCAAAAGTACATTTTGCCTTGTTTTCTGCCTCCACGTTTTACATTGTTTTCTCTGTTTCTCTGTTTTTAGGAGGACAGGACACCCTTAGAAAAAATTCTCTGTGCTCTCCTTTTGCATCCTTGCTCAGGAAAGAGATGACATGCTACAAGAACACTCTAAAGTGGGTTCTCTACTGAGCAGTGGAATTGAATGACCCCTGGGAAAAGCTTCATGTCAACTCCTCCTTGGAAATAGTTTAAAACTTTAAAGCCTAGATAGGCAAAGGGTGTTCTGCAGACCAGCCCATAATGACACTACCTGGAGCTTGTTAGAAATGCAAAATCGCAAGCCCTACCCCAGACTCACTGGACCAGAATCGGCATTTTAACAAGATCCCCAGGTGAGTCACGATTCACTGGCACTTTCCAGTTCAAAGCACCTTACAATGAGCCTGTTGAAAAGCTACTGGGATAACAGACCAAGCAGCAGCTTAGTTATGTTGCTGTTATAATGGCTATGGGATGGGAAGTGTATAGTGTGATTTCTGGCATGGATTCATTCGCTGGACAAGCACCTATGAGCACCTGTTCTGTGCCAGCCATTGTGCTGCTTACTGGGAATAGAAAGTTCAAGAAGAGTTGGTCATGCTCTCACATTTCACATCCTTGTTTAAGTTTTCGTCACTCAAATTCTCCCCTGGGGTTCTCTGCCTAAGGTCACCATCTATTTTCTTCTCCAGGGAACTGATGACATTAATAACAGCAAACATTCATGGATGCCTTGCTCAGTGTCACACTGTGCTGAATGCCTCAAACACTGTAGTGGACATCTGTAGTTTTTTCTTCTCCCCAAATTTTTCATGTAGTAATGCAAAGCCCCCTTTTTTTCTATGAGAAGAGGTATCCCTCACCCACTTCTCTGTCCATGTTGTTTTGGGGCTGGTATAACCAACAGGCTCCAGGGTTAGGCCAATTTGAAAATACTTTCCCCTGGCCTCAGTCTGGAACACGTGACTCAGAACCGAGAAATGAGATTCAGCCCTAGAAATTTTGCTAGAACCATGGAAAAAAAGGATATGCTTTGTTCACTGTAGTTGCTAAGCTGTAAGATGTAAGTTTGGAGTTTGCTGTTGGTGATCATCTTCGCCAACACATGAAGAGAGTACTTGAGAATAAGTCCAAACCAAAGAAAAGCAGAGCCAACAGTTGGAGAAGAGTCAGGTTTTGAATATGCTCATTGGATGTCTCCATCCAACCATGCCTAAAGCCAGCTTTGCACTTTCAATTTCTTACTGTGTGAACCAATAAATTTCCCTTTAAGTTTGAGTTGGTTTGAGTTGGATTTCTGTGACTTACAACTGATGATATCCTAACAGAATACAAAAATATTTTCATTTAATCCTTACAAATGCTCTGGGATAGATACTATTAATGAATCCATTTTCCAAATGAAGAAACTGAGGTTTAGAAAGGTTAAGTATCTTGTTCAACTATACATAGCTGACAAATGGACAGACTAAAGATTTAATCTCAGATTATTTTATTACAAAGATTTAGAATTTATTAGTGTCATTGTAAATATTGTTTATGGTCTGGAATCATTAAACTCTGCATGTGAGAAAGATTGAAAATCTTAATTCCATCTGTGCAATAACAGGTTGCAGGTGTATAGCTACAGCAGTGGGTAATTTAATCTAAGGTCAAAGCCATCGCAAGGTAAACTTGCAAAATAAGAAAGTTTGTCTTCATGAAACTTTCAGCTTTATAGTTCTACTCCTCCCATGCTTTTCCTTGTCCCGTTTCCCAACAATGTCACACCACTCTAGCACTTTATCCTGGAACCCAATTAAAACTTCTTCCAGGAAAAAATCAAAATAATTTTCATAGTAAGATAGTTATGACTGAAATCAACCTTTATATCTTAAGTCATCTAGTTCAATGCCACAGAAATAAACTATTAATAATGGAAATCTATGATCAGAGAAGGCAAAGTTTACCCAAGGTTTCTGCAATCATAGTACCAATTCCATCTATATATAAGTCTAAATCTGAGTGTATCTGTGAATACTTTGGGCCTACAAACAGTCATTGCTAAACAAACAACCTATATAGGGTCATGTCCATCGAAAGAAACTAGAACATAATTTAGCTCATTTTCAGGGGACCTAAGATGAAACAGGGGAATGAGATGAAACTTTCACAGATATTATGGAGAGGCAAGATGAACAGGGTACTTTGCAGAGAAGTACCATTTATTAAAATGAGCTACCAAAGGTGCTTTTACCAGTGGAAGAAATTAAAAAGTACTTGAAATATCGAAATACCAATGCACTGGTGCTGCTTGTTTCCTCTCCTCCAGCCCTTCAAATCTCCCATCCTGCCTCTGTTCACTTCCAAGACAAATTGCTAATTTGTCTGTTCTGCAGACCTGCACTGCATTTGCCAAACTAAGTCCTCAAACATTTTATTCATAAGTGAGGTCAGCCGGAACTACATGAGAAAAATTAAATCTCATCTACCTTATCTAAGCACACTTGGAGAAAAATTCAATGCATAAAAATGTCCTTAATAGGAAGAGTCTTTTTGCTTAATTATAGTCATAACCATAAAAAAGTGTGTATATATATATATTTTTTTTATTCTAAATTTTATTCTAAATATGCACCCATTTAATTATTTAAAAACATTTATCAGTGCCTACTATTAGTGAGACTTTGTATATGATAAATTATATAAAGGTATGGAAATGAAGGAACTCCAGGCTATGCCTTCCTTTTACCCAACAAATACTTATGAGTACATAACCGAAGGCCAGGAACTGTCAGACAGAGCTATGATCAATTTATACAAGTTTTCTGCTCCATAGAATTACATTCTAGTGGGACAGACCAATAATAACAACAAACCTTATCAAAGTAAGATAATTTCAGAAAGTAATAAGAAAATAATAGAACAGAATAAAATATTAAGTGATCAGGGGAAAGAGGTGAGTCCAGGTGCAGGGATTACAAGAAGTTTTCTTGAAGAGAGATTAAAGATGGTGGGAGACTGAGTGGAAGCTACACTGACACCCTCCCGGGACCAAACTGGAATTACAACTAAAATATAGAAAAACCATGAGGAATAATCAACTGCAACTGAAGACGACTTGGAGAGCACCCTCATAACCAAGGAGGAAAAGTGGAGACCACACAGAGACTGGTAGGAAGTACAGACATGAGAGGGCTGGCTGGGCTCCCACAGGCAGCAGCTGAAAATCCAGAGGGAGATCTCAGCTGTGGGGGTTCCACTGAGGACTCCGGGGCCTAAACCCCAGGCTGGGCTTCCCAACCAAGAACACCAGAACTGAGGATGGTGCCCACATAACATCTGGCTGTGAAAGGCAGCTGGGTTTCTGTCCTCCAGGGAGAGAGGGCTAGAAATGCAGGCACCCTCTTAAAGGGCCAACACAAAGTTTCGTATGCAGCCACTCACCTTGGGCTCCACCAGAGGGGAGGCAGAGTGGACTGGAGCTCTGTGAGGAGAATATAGAGCTGTGGGCTCTGGAGATAGAGCTCAGAGGACACCCGTCTGGATTCCTGTGCCGAGTCATTCCCCAATACTGCAGAGGACATCTTTCGCAGGCAGACATTTAACTTCCAAACAACTTTTGCCTGAGGGAGAAGCAATTGCTCCACCCTGCTGGAAAACTTCTTGGCCTACCCTTTGGAGTTTATACAACCTGAGGCTCATTAGAGAATCAGATTAATCAGTCTGCAGGCTGAGGCAGAACTCAGAGTGCTTTGAGTCTTTGCTTGAACTGCTTCTGGACCTGGGCCTTGGAAAAGCAGACTTTGGTGGGCATCTTGGTGCTGTCCAAATGTATCCAGCCCCAATGGATGGGACCTCAAGCTGTGGGTTGTTGATAGCTCCAAACATAGTACTCAAGGCCAGTCACAAACAGCATCTGATGTTGGCCTGCACCAGAGACTGTCCAAAAAGACTGAGAGTCCTGGCATATCTACCCAATACATAGAAATAAACTCAAATAGGCAGCTAAAATGGGGAGACAAAAAGCAAGCTCCAAATGAAAGAATAAGAGAAGTCTCCAGAAAAAGAGCTAAATGAAATGGAAATAAGCAATCTATCAGATATAGAGTTCAGAATACTGGTTGTAAGGATGCTCAACAGCATAAAAAAAGATATGGAAACTATGAAGGAAATGAAGTATAACATAGCAGAAATAAAGAATACATTGGAAGGAATAAACAGATTAGAGGAAGCTAAGAATCAGATCAGTGAATTAGAAACAGAGTAGAAAAAAATCACTCAATCAGAGACCCAAATGAAAAAACAATTAAAAAACAGGAGGACAGTTTAAGGGAGCTGTGGAACAACATGAGATGGAACAATATTCGTGTCACTGGAGTGCCAGAGGAGGTCAAAAGTAAGCAAGGGTTAGAGAACCTGTTTGATGAAGTAATGGTAGAAAACATCCCTAACCTGGCCAAGGAAAAAGTCACACAAGTTCAGGAGGCACAGAGAGTCCCAAGCAAGAAGAATCCAAAGAGGTCCATGCCCAGACACATCATAATTAAAATGCCAAAGAATTCAAGACAAAGAAATAATCTTAAAGGAACCTAGAGAAAAGCAATCTGTTACCTACAAAGGAGCCTCCATAAGGCTGTCAGCTGACTTCTCATCAGAGACTCTACAGGCCAAAAGGGAATGGCATGAAGTATTCAAGGTAATGCAAAACAAGGATCTGAAACCAAGACTACTCTATCCAGCAAGGCTATCATTCCAAATAGATAAAATAAAGAGCTTCCCAGACAAAAAAAGGCTAAAGGAATTTATCACCACCAAACCAGCATTGCAAGAAATGTTAAAGGGACTGCTGTAATAATAAGAAGAAATAGAGAGAGAAACATACGCATAAATAATTAAAATGGCAATAAATAAAAACCTATCAATGATAACCTTAAGGACTTTAAGGGAAAGATCAATAGTCATAGTTGTGGACTTTAACACCCCACTGACTTCACTGGATAGATCTTCCAGACAAAAAGTCAACACAGAAACAGTGACTAAATGGCACACTAGATGAGATGGATTTAATTGATATTTACAGAACATTTCACCCCAAAGCTGCAGAATATACATTCCTCTCAAGTGCACATGGGTCATGCTCA